GCTGAAAGATGCTACTTGTCAAGAAGTAATGTGACATGACACTGCGAGTGCTCTCTGACAGATTTTCTAAGAACTTATTGACTTGCCCTCATATTTTAACGTAAAATAAAAGTTGTCCAAAAACAAATATAAGATCATACAAGTTGCCAAGTATTTGATTAGACATAGAAACAAAAATATTTTTTTTATAAACCGTTTAAGCTATCCACAGATATATTCAGCAAAAGTTTCATTCCATTGTCTATCCAAATAATTTCAAGATTTATCAAACAAAAGTGACCAAAGTGACCAATAGGATCTTAGTGAAGCAAAAACTTGGAGTGCCCACATTTTATATACATCTTATCAATTAAATATTAATGAAATCAGTGCAAGCCTAAGATTTTAACCACTGTTTGGACACATTGGATAATGCTAATGCTAATTGTACTGTAACAAGTCTTCTAATTTAAAAATTGCTTAATGGAAAAATATTTTATTACGTTAATAGTAATATTTAACAGCATATATAACGTATGTATTTAGAGTAGGTCAAGAGTATAAATATTTTTAATTCACATAAGAATTATTTTATCGCGATTATTTTATCGTGGCTCTATAATAAAGTGTATACCGCCCTTTGCCGAAAGAGTAGGAAATCTTTCATCGAAAATAGACGGGACCTGAGTCCGGGAGTGGAGTTTGAAATTGTATTTCAACAAAAAATTCACGAGTCCAATTTTTACTTGCATTAAGCCAAATCGCGTACCTAAAAATTAATGATTTTAATGCATGAGATACTTGCAAAACATCTTTATACATAGTATCTTATTCTAATTAAGCTTTAGATGGTTTTACTTAAATGCAATCTAAAAAACATTTTCTTGTATAAAAAAAATTATATTATTAAAATTTAACAAGTTATTAATTAAATATTTTGGAGAGAGCGAGAGAGAGAGAGAGAGAGAGAGAGAGAGAGAAGATACTTAAAATAACACTTCTAAATTAAAAGTAATTTGTTAAATAAAATACTTTTTCTCAAAATTTTTAAGTAAAACGTTTATGTAATTGTTATACTTATATATAATAGTAATTAATAAAAACAATTATTGTTAAAACAATATTAAAGGAAGTATTTAAAAAAATATTTTTTAATTTTTATTATTACTGTTATTTTATTATTATTATTATTTAATTAACAAATGTAGTATGTATTTACTGCTATAAACAAAACACATTTTTTAAGTATGTATAATTAAAAAAGGTTTTTAAATGTATAAATAAAACAGCTGTCGTTGTTAATTTAAAAGTAATTATAAGAAGTAGGCAATAAAAATGACAATAAAAAGTGACAATTAATAATAAAAATAGTTCATTAATAATAGTTTGATAAAGTGTCTTAGGATCAAATTACGAAAGCATATTCTATAAGTGAAAATAAGAAGAAAATATGATATACAAAATGTGACTATAATTGCTTTATAAAGTTACAAATAAATATTGAAACAGAACAAGAAGTAAACAAAAATGGATTTTCCGTGGCACAGAATATGGAAATGTACATTTCGTGTACAAAAAAATAAAACATGATTATTTCGTGTGTACACTTTTTATGCATTATGTTTATACGATTCAGTATCACTTTCATTGTATGTACTTATAAAAACATTTTTATAGGTAAACTTTATAAAACATTTTTTTCTTATTTTCACTAGAATACGCTCACGCAATTTGTTCGTTAAATCCTCTTGAGACACTTATATATATAAATAAAATTTATTAATGACTGCAGAATTCATATCCTTACCAATACAACTTCGGGGGCCTTCCCCGAATGGTAAATAAGCATAAGAATGCCTTTCTGCTATTTTGTCTGCGTTGAATCGTTCAGGATCAAATTTATCTGGGTCCGGATATATTGAGGGATCTCGATGCAGTTCAAGCAACGGTATATTGATTAAAGTCCTCTTTGGCAGGTGAATGTCCGTTGTCGGTAGATCTATATCCTTGGTACAGATGCGATTCAGTAGTATAACAGGGGGATATTTCCTCATAGTTTCTGCAATATGTAAAAAAAGAACATATAAAGATATATCTATTCCAAAATAGAAGCAATTTATTTAACTTTCCGCCGGTAAACTGGATCTTTCAAGAAACGGTCGATTTATTTATTATAAATTAAAAAAACAAATGAATAGAAATGAAAAAATAAATGATGAGATGATGAATAGAGATGAAGAAATAAATGATGAGATTTGGTGTCCGGCGCTAAAAAACTTAATGATGTTGAGATTGTATGCGTACAAGGACGCCAGTATGCAGTTGTTTATATTTCAATGAATATAGAAGTCGTGCCTCAGTAATGCAAACTGCACACCGCTTTAGTATTTTCAGCAAAGTAATATTTGAATTTTTTTGTGTTTTACACGTTTTAACGCAAATTTCCATAAATATGTATTTTGCTTTAAAATAAGTTTTTTGTGTTACATATTATTTTCAATATGTAATATAAAATTTTTCTTAAAGCACACATACTTTTATATAGACGGTGACATATATTTATTATTTGTATTTTTGCACTCGTTAAAAATAAACAAAATTTCACAATTATTCAGATTTGGTTTTTTCTCTAAAATAAAAAAGCTTAAATTTTATTATATATTATATATATTCATCAAAATTTTTATTTTTAGTTGCTCAAATAATTCAACTTTTTAAAATAACATACTATTCTTTTCCAAAACGTATCAAGAATAGTGTAGCCTAAAAAAATTATTTTATTTATTCATACAAAAATTATAAATCTTTAAGCAATTTCAAGTTATTTTGAAACTCTTTAAATCTGTAAAAAAATAAGTAAAATACTCACAGTCTGACTTTTACTATGGTAAAAACTTGTTGGTAAATGTTTTGCAAGTACGTATACATGTTTAGATTTCTTCATATTCGAGAAACAATAAAAAAGTCTGCTGGACTTTAGAAATTTATATCGTGAATCTAGGTTGGAAATTTCACATTGCCGAAAAGAAAATATTTTTATAAATAACAAGATATTACCATGAATAATATATATTAAGTATTATCATAAATAATATCATAAATAATAAATATCGTATATCAAAAATAAAATCTTTATTTTTTTTGTTGAAAATTGCGTCATCGAATAACCAGAAACAATATGCGATAGTATACTTGCCATTTATTACTTTATGAAGATATGTCATTTCATTCACAGCATCGTAGGTCAAATCATCATATTTTGCTAATATTTCATCGATTTCTTTGTGAATTTTTTTTTGTATATCATGATGTTGAGCTAATTCATATAGAGCGAACGTGGCTGTCGTCGCGCTTGTTTCAAATCCAGCTATGAAAAAGAGAAAACTTTGTGCAGCAGCTTCTGCCATAGTAAGTTTGCTTACGGTTGCTGTGAGTAAATAATAGAATATAATTTTAATTAATAATCACATGTAGAGAGAGAAACATATTAAGAAGTTTTAATTGCATTTATGTATATATATATATATATATATATATATATATATATATACCTATATATATATAATTAAAACGCCTTAATATGTATACATGTATAATACATAACATACACATTAAAAAAATTAATTATTTGATTTGCAAAAGTGTAACGTGAGAAAATATGTGTGCATTTTCAAGAACATAGAGAACCTATTGATGAAAATAAATATGTATATATTAACATGATATATGGGTAGTCTTGTCATCGTCAGGTTCAACATAGCCCCTTTCCATGAGTTGAATGAGTAGATTCATAAAATCTTGTCTGACGATATTATGACTTTGTCTGTATTCTACATTTTCTCGGAACATATTCATATAAAAACTGGTGACATCTCGATCGGTGAAAGGGATAGAAAAGAAATCCGTAATTTGTGGCACAAACGCAAACAGGGCGGTCCAAATTGGATTCAATTCAAAAATTTTTTTCCCCTTCATACGATACTCGTTATTTGGATCCTTAATGCAGTTAGATTTAATA